CAATCTTCCAATTAGTCCTTCGAAAGACAGTAAAGAGCTATCAAGATAGTTGCCAGAATTGACAATTGCCTTACGAAAGACTTATGTCTGACTATGGGTGAATTGACTGTGGCCGCGTTGCCAGAATAGCCCTTTCTGAACAACGATTTTTACTAAAGGGGTATTTACACGATTTTTGACACCTTGCTATTTATAGGTTCACAAATTGCGGAGTGAACTTCAAAAGTACTTCAGTCAAGGAATTTTAATTTCCATGAATAATATGTATGCATAATAAAATTGTGACCGGCCGATGTCTGTACATCAAAGATATTAAAGAAAAATTAATATATTTATATAAATTATTAGAGCAACAGAAGCCAAATCAACAATATTTAGAATTTTTGTCTGTCTGTCTGCACGTTTGTACGCGCATCACTCGAAAGTTAATGCATGGAATTGAATGCAGTTTCTACCGATGCATAGGTGGCCTTACTTATATATAGAGGGAAAATTTAAAGAGTTGCCACCTTTTCGAAAATGGCAGTTTAAGTAAATGGATAAGATAAAGAAAATATTGCAATATGGCTGTCAAACGAAAGAGATTTAAGAAGGCTTACAGTCGCAAATATTTTTGTGGAAGGTTGTCATCTATTTGAAAATTTTTATTTGATTTAATTGATAAGATAAATTGAATAATGCATTATGAAGAGGTTTTGGAAAGTTTACCGACAAAGATATATTTGAGGAGGATTGCCACCTGTTTAAAAAAATGTATTCAATTAAATTGATAAAATAAACGAAATACTAACACACGGTTATCAAACAATACCAAATACTTTTAAGGCGTAGTGAAGCACGCCGGGTATTTGCTAGTTGTAAATAAAAATAAATAATTAGGGGATTCACAAGACGTGTTAACCGTCGTAAAATCTTAAGGTTAACATCTTTTTTAATTAAAATGGTTTTAGGGGATTTCTAACTAAACCGAAATTCTTTTAAACTGATAAAGAATATATAATTAGCCAACCCCCCAACCATTTTAACCGCTATTTTACATAAACAAGTGTTAAGCTTAAGATTTTACGACGGTTAACACGTCTTGTGAATCCCCTAAAT